AAAGATAGTATGTAGGTAAACAGAGATGGTATGTAGGCAAACAGAGACGGTATGTAGGTAAACAAAGATGATATGTAGGTAAACAAAGATGGTATGTAGTTAAACAGAGATGGTATGCAAGTAAACAGAGACGGTATGTAGATAAACAAAGATGATATGTAGGTAAACAAAGATGGTATGTAGGTAAACAAAGATAGTATGTAGGGAAAAATTAATATGTAGGTAAATAAAGATGGTATATAGGTGAAAAAATATGGTCTGTAGGTAAACAAAGATAGTATGTAGGGAAAAATGGAATGTAGGTAAATAAAGATGGTATATAGGTGAAAAAATATGGTCTGTAGGTCAACAAAGATAGTATGTAGAAAAAAAATGGAATGTAGGTAAACAAAGATGGTATGTAGGTAAACAAAGATAGTATGTAGGGAAAAATGAATATGTAGGTAAATAAAGATGGTATGCAGGTGAAAAAATATGGTATGTAGAAAAAAATGGAATGTAGGTAAACAAAGATGGTATGTAGGTAAACAGAGACGGTATGTAGGTTATTGCGGGGGCGCGAGGAAGGGTAATTCTGTGCGTACAGAAGTAGAGATGGTATGCAGATAGAGGTAGGCATCAGCAGAAACATCAGAGACAGATCTTTGGGTGAAGTAAATGGTGATGATATGTAGGTACTTGCTGGTGTGAGAAAGAGGCCTCCATGCGAACATAAGTAAGATGTTATGTAGATAGTGGGCAAGGGAAATAAGATGGGAATCTTAACCCTAAACCTTAAATAAAGATGGTATGTATGCAATTGAACAGTGTGCTAACTATGCGGGAAACCCTAACCTGGGACATTCAGCTGGCGCCCTGCCGCTACTTTTAAAGGATTTTTATATACAGAAATAATTCAAAGGGGGTGTTTTCCATAAAAAAGGCCGTTAGTATACGACATGTTTGAAAGTATTTGTCGTAAACTAGAAAAAAAAACACCGAGAAAGTGGCGTTCAGCTGCCACTTTGGTTTAATCCCAAAAAGGATTCCAGCAGTATATCCGCGCTTCTGTTTGCGACACCGTTTTTACTCACCGAGTGGCAACAGTTCGGTACCTTTGTTTTGTACGCTTATAAGATCGATGGAGTGTCGTCGTTACACAGCTCTCCTGCCGCACTGATCTATGGCCAACGAGTACACACTGTCGCACGGACATACTCTTCCACATCTCTCTGCGAAGAGTGTGGATGGTCCACATGTCTTATATGAAGTGCCTATTTGTCAGTACAACTAGTGCGAGCATTGTCCTGTTCTGTGCCCACATTCCCTTTACTGAGGGTGTGGATGGTCCACATGTCTTATCTGAAGTGCCTATTTGTCAGTATAACTTGTGCGAGCACTATTAAACCAACATAGCACGAGAGTCCCATTAAACTTATACGTATACCAACGAGCCGATGTAGAAGCTTCGTTATGAGAGTTCAACCACTTCTGCGCGAGCCACTATCAATACCAACCGCAACACACGACTCACAAACAAACTCAACACCACCAACACACCAATACACCAGGGTTTAGGGTTTAGGGTTGTTTGGACTACATTCACATACCGCTTATGGGGAAGACCTTTTCCTTAAGTAGATTGTACGGCTGTGGGTCGAACTTGCACTTGCTGGTGTTTGGCAGCTCCAGCCATCCTGGCCATATTTGGGCATTGGGCGTTCCCAGGAGAGCGTATATCTATGCAAAGAAAGGACGAAGAAATTGTATCTATTTAAAGCAAGGTCATAGAGCACATTCATCAGGCAACTTAATGGCAAGCATACACCCGAGAGATTAGCGTAGCAAGCAGTACGATGGGCCTCACCCGTGCCAACTAGCCAGGCACTGCCCAGTGGAAAGCTGGCTACGATGTATCTGACAACCGCCATACATATACTAACACATCTTGCCCAGGCTTTCGCTTATGCAAACAATCAGCTTCTCTCTCACCCCCTACACACACAGCACTTCGGGTCTATATCTGAATATAACGTACTCACGCACTACATATACCCCTTCAGCACCCAGTCACGCACTACATATATCCCTTCAGCACCCAGGCACACACTACATATACCCCTTCAGCAACCAGTCACCCACTACATATACCCCATCAGCACCCACTCACACACTACATATACCCCTTCAGCACCCACTCACACACTACATATACCCCTTCAGCACCCACTCACACACTACATATACCCCTTCAGCACCCACTCACACACTACATATACCCCTTCAGCACCCTCGCCCCACCCCCACACCTTCGACAGCTGATCAATTTCACTCGTGCCCATGAACAAGGCATTGCCCAGGATAAACTCAGCTATGATACACCCCACACTCCACATGTCCACCTCAGCAGAGTACTTCTTGGCCCCCAGAAGCAGCTCTGGCGGTCTGTACCACAGTGTAACCACCAACTGGGTGTAGGATTTGAGGGGATCACCATACTCCCGGGCCAGGCCAAAGTCGCCTACAACCAAGCGGCCGGTGTTGGTCTGGAGTGAAGGTAGTTGGAGAGTGAGTTGGGTGGATTGGATGGGTTGGGGTGGGATTGGATTGGAAGATGGGCGCCAAAGAGAATGTAAAGAAGGATCGTATGATATGTAGGTGTGACATAGATAGATAGATACATACATAGACAAATAGATACATAGATACATACACACATAGACACATATAGATACATACATGCATAGATACTTAGATACATACATGCATAGATACATACATGCATAGATACATAAATACCTAGATAGATGCATGCATAGATACATAGATACATGCATACATGTATACATAGATACATAGATACATGAATACCTAGATACCTAGATGCATGCATACATGTATACATAGATATATAGATACATAGACATGTATGACAATGGCGGGCGAGAGGCAATCGCGGGATGTTCAGAGGCAGAGAGGTGTTCGGTAAAGTATATAAGCCAACTACATTGAATCTCGCTGTATTATCTGAGTGTACACATCATCTGCGGGTACAACGTAACCACTTTAACTGTATCAGACCCACGCCCCATACAGGGCTTTAGGGTTATCAAATAGATGTAGGGCTTGCTAGAAACCCTAAACCCTAACCCCACACCTCACAATCATCAATAATAGGTTATATGTACATGGTCGCAAGCGGCAGACATACATTACTAATGGGCGAGCCTGTAGACTGAAAATCTCTACAATGAATAGACGTCGTGCGAGTTGGCGGGATATTGTATTTATATTTAGGTCTGCAACACATACACCGTCAGAGGACCTGGCGGCCTCCTCTCACCATGAAATATTAACGGAGCACCATATATATATATATAGACAATATACATAAAATAGAACATACATATACATATAATGATAGTCTACATATACGTATAGTATACATATAACAAACATATACATATACATATAACATACATATATCTTTAACATACATTTACATATGACATAAGATATACTTCAACATATATTTACATAAAACATACATATAACATATATATACGTATAGTATACATATACATATAACACACACACACACACACACACACACACACACACACACACATATATATAGATATAG